GTTGCATAGTGTACCTTTAAATACACCTGCAAGATAAAGCAGGTTATTAACTCTGAAAGATGAGAGAATTACTACAACAAAATGCTGAAATGGCAGCCTTTAATTTGTCAGATTAATAAGACTCAACATTTTTCTGATATAAGAGGTAAGAAATAGCCCAGCTTTTCAGTAAACCAGAATCAAACTATAACATATTGCTGATAAATTAGATCATTATAGATCAATTAATATACAAAACTTATACAAGAGATAAAAATAACAACAAAAAACAACTTCTTACCTCCCCGTCAACGATACCTCTAAAGACAGCTGGCAACAGGGGCTGAAACATGTGGGCTCCCAGTATGGGACTAACCTTTAAAGCTATTTCAACCACCTGCAGAGACACGTGGAGAGGACAGGTAGGGGAGAAACATGAGATTAAGCAGAGAGAAATAGGAACATACAACTCAGAACAGGGACAGACAAAGGTCATGAATAGATACAAAGACAAAACCTTATACAAGAATATCGAGAAGAAAATGATGTTGCAGCATTATCCCTAAATAACTTACAAACAACAATGGCTGTTTCTGTTTTAATAAGAGCAAACATTTGGATATGTTCTGTGCCCATAAATGGATCTTAAACAGTAATCCATGTTCTGTAACATGTTTTTGATGCATTATGTAAAAAAACAAAAAACACACAAATAAAAAAAAAACCTTGATCTTTTATCCTATGCTCAGGGATAAGAGGTCAGGCAATAGCAGCTGTTACAGCTTGTTTATCTGTGACTGATATTTTCAGACAAGAGCCTGAAACCAGTCATTCTTAACGCTTTATATTCTCCTTTGGAAATCTAAAATGTTTCTCTTTTTTCTAAGATATTTTTCTTACTCTATATTAAGACTGCTGCAACTCTTTGGGGGCTAAATTATGGTATCATCAGGGATCTCAGGCTGAGACACTGATAGTTGTTACTGGGCACACCACCCTACTTCTCACTCACATGAAGGATGTGCTTTAGGAGAACACCATGCAGAGTCCATCCTCTGCTATATGCTAGGCCACCCTGCACCTTAGCTTAAAGGAATAGTACACCCAAAACATGATTAGCCTTCATTTTCTACTCACCCCCATGCTGAACAACACCCTGGAGTACTTTTTTGATATCTCAAATGCATCTGGAGATCTGGGAGGCTTCTTGCTGTCTGCTGACATTCAAATAATGGAGGTCTATGGTGACCGAGACAGAAAGGTCCATAAAAGTCCACAAAAAACGTGTCAATATTCCTCCATACTGCTCGTCCAATGTATTCCAAGTGTCCTGAGTGGGTAGCATCCAGAATTTACTCGAAACGAAGTCATTTAGAATGTTTTTAGAGCATAAACAGTAGTGTATAGGATTTCCTGAAAGCGCGCACATGCGCGATCACGAGGCTACGGAAGCCGGCAGACCAAACCAGATGAAAGTGCGCATTCAGCGTCTGCTCTTCCAATAATGCAAGCGTAGAAGAAGAAATGTGCCGTTTACCTGTGCAAAGAAAGAAACAACGAAAGAAAAATGTCTGAGGACTTCAGTGTTGAGGAAGAGCATGAGTTCTTTGCCGAGCTGAATGCGCTGGTTTGGTCTGCCGGCTTCTGTAGCGTCGGGATCGCGCAGGTGCGCGCTTTCAGGAAATCCTATACACTACTGTTTATGCTCTAAAAACATTCTAAATGACTTCGTTTCGAGTAAATTCTGGATGCTACCCACTCAGGACACTTGGAATACATTGGACGAGCAGTATGGAGGAATATTGACACGTTTTTTGTGGACTTTTATGGACCTTTCTGTCTCGGTCACCATAGACCTCCATTATTTGAATGTCAGCAGACAGCAAGAAGCCTCCCAGATCTCCAGATGCATTTGAGATATCAAAAAAGTACTCCAGAGTGTTGTTCAGCATGGGGGTGAGTAGAAAATGAAGGCTAATCATGTTTTGGGTGTACTATTCCTTTAAACCAAAATTAAGATACTACAGACTCTCTAATCAAATATGTAGGCATTCGAGCCATTTTGTGATGGAGAAATTTCTCTAACAAAGTGACTGTAAAAAGCATTTTTTTTCTAAAGCAGACACCCAAGTCAGTTTTCTTTCCTTCCTTATGTTTTTAAACTTAAACCTTCTCGCACAAGATACCTGTCATACAGTATATCTAGATTCACCATAATTTCGAAGTTTAAGGTTTGATTTGTAAAAGATTTGGGCAGACGCCCATCTTTTTTTAAGAGTTGGTTTCTTGCATGTCAGCGGTTGTTGTACATTCATTCTGCCTTATTCACATAAAGTTGGTCAAACAAAGAGTGTTTCTCTGCAGCTTTAGGTAATCCTAAACCCACAGCACACATTACTTGCTCTCTTGCTGAAGCCTCTGTGATTATATTGGTACTCTGGCATCTTTATCTGAGCAGCTCTGATGCTTTGACTGTTTGAACTGAGCTAAAATTAAATTAGCAACTCTCTTGACATCCTTTCTATTCTATAATAAATAATTAACATGAAAACAATTGAATTTTCACAACATTTTTAAAGTTATTCTGCCAATAAACCAGTTTCATAATAAAATTGATGCACCTGCTATAAGGTTGTGGGAAAAAACACAATCTATTACATCTTTAATCTTGACAAAGATTAGATTTAGTGTTAATCATGACTAAAGAAGCAGAAACTGTGCCAGAAAATCTCTGCTAATTGGCTTTTTCCTATCTCTTAATACAAACAGGAAAATGTTATAATTCTGCTTTAAGGTTCAGCAACATAAATGAGGAAACAGGATCAATCAAGCTTTTAAATCTTTATAAAAAGTAAACCAAGGCTATTTCTGATTAGCCAGATCCCTCCATCGTCAGGATGTGTTTTGTAAACATGCATGTTTGCTGTCTGCTGGCTCTCTTCTCTCTAGTCAACATTAGTTGGATTCAGATGCGCAGTAAGCCAACAGGCTTAAACAAGCTAAAGCTTTGTGGATTAACATCAATTCAGCTGATTTATAGTTTGGTTATAAAATAAGCAAACAGGATTTGAGCTACAAAAAGGAAGAACTTTTAGGCTGACATATTTCTAAAGAGAATAGATATATCCTTTATTGTGCTTGAATAGGAGTATTTAGCTCAATTTCAGAAAAACAAGAAAAAAAAAACAAGTGAGAAACGAAACCCATTTGCCTTCACAAGAATGTACCTCTTAAATGGTACGCATGTTTAAATTGATTTATTTTTTACCCATTTGACCTTTATCAGTGCAAGAAGAAGAAAACAAAGGAAACTTTTCAATTATATTTCAAAGAGCAAAACAAAATGCCCATCGCTGTTACTGGTATTGGTTTTGTGTGCTTTCTGTAAGTTGACTCCTTACTTATATAATCTACCCAAAGCTCTGCAGGAAAGTCCTCATGATGAATACTTCTTAATTCTAATAAATAGGATAACTTTTCAAACAATGTACATACAGGAAACCATTATAGAGCTGAAATACGCTTGTGATTTGGTCAATCTAAGGGAAACCATGTCAGTAAAATATTAGTTATTCTGAAAGAAAAACATTTATAGAAATTTAGATTATTATATTTCAGAGGTGTCTTTTTATCCCTGTCCAGAGCGATCTTCAAAAGGCCACACAATTTACTAGCATATATTTAAGAAAGAGAGTTGAGTCCCAAAAAAGAAAAGAGAGGTCATAGAAGATAGAAAAAAATAATTACCTTTAGTACTTGGACTTGTCCCTCATTTGTAATGTCCTTTAGAAGATCACAAAATGATCTGCACAACGATTCGCCGTAATTCTGTTGATGAATAAGGTAAATATAAGGAAATCTGATAAACCACATAAAAGGGCTTTTTTCGAGTTGATGTCAACATGTTTTTCTCCTACCTGTAGGAACTCTGTGGCAGACAAGTATAGGTAGGCATTGATAATCTGAAAACAGGTACGGAGATTCTCGGAGCTCAGCTCTGAAACACAAACATCAATGAGATGCTGAGTTTATAAACACACAAAAAAAAAATGTCTTGCTCTGCAGAAATTGGGGGAAAGTAATAGGCTGTTCAAAGACATGGCAGTGTCTATTTTTTTGACCGGACTTTCTATCTGCAGTTAAATATTTGAATGTTTTACTAGAACTTCCTAAAAGGTATTCCAGCCCAGGATGATATGATTGTAATTCTTTGGTGTGGCCCAAAAGCACAATGTTTGTTGTAAACTCTAGTTTTTTTCCCCAAGGATTAAGGTAGTTTATTTGGCCTTCGCTTTCAGAAATATTAACTTTGTTACCCTAAAATAAAAGTGCACTCGGCGACCGCTCATTTAATGGAGTCTCCCATTTTACAAAAAAAAAAAAAAGGATCAATTATAAAGCCATGGCATGACACCATAGGAAGATAAACATTCTCATAGCATCAACTCCACTCCATTTTCTGTACTTTATGTTATACCCCATCTCATATTGACTTCTTGTAAATGGTGGGTGAAAGGACCGATTTTACTGGGGTAAAAAAAAAGAATTTCCTCACTTTATAAACCTAATGCTTCTAATAATTTAAACAAACTCTCAATAAAGATCCACCTAAATAAAATCCCAGAAGACTGTTTGGTCAGTTTGGTTTTAATTGCTCCACCATACCTAATGATAAATGCACAACTTCAAACAGCTACTAAAACAGCACAGAAGCACTGGATGGAACCATGATGCAACAAATTAATAATGTAGCATTAGCTTCACAGGCCTGGAAGGAAGTTAAAGTAGCTCCCTAGCTGTCAAAATAATAAGAGGGTTTAAAATGATCCTTTTGGAGCTGTAAATAAACTAGCAAATGTGTTCTGCTCTCCTTTTGCTGTTCTTTTATCAGAGAACAGCAAAGATAGCTTAAGAAATGTCCGTTTATGAAGCTAAACAAACATGCAACAAGGAATTAATGATTGATTATTAGTCTGAACTTATAAGGCATCAAACTCAGAGGTGCTCAAAGGAGCATGTGAAGAAGTCAGTAATAAATGCAGAAGTCAAAACAAAAGTGCAAATTACCTGCAGTTTGGCTTTGGTGTCTGATAAAATTAAAAAATAGAATTAAGTCAAATTTTGCAGGACGAGCCATTTCCTCGCTACTGCTCTAGGGCTATTTGCAGCAGAGATTATTGCTGAGTGCAGCTAGATGCAATATGAATTAGGGGTTAAAACAAGGCATGATTTAAAAAAAAAAAAGGCAGGTGATCATAATTTGATTATTTTCATCTTTTTTAACCCAGACCTGTTAGTAGCCAGTCAAAAAATAAACAATTTTAACTTATATTAGCGAACTATATGTACTAAGTACAGTAACACCGTTCCCTTGTCTGAAGGTTGTTACTAAGGAAAAAAACACTGAAAGCTAAACTTTCCCCTTTCAGTCTCAGTTATGTGATTACAAACCTAGAAAATAAACATTTTATTTGTTTTTAAATAGAAAAACTAATATATTGAGGCTCATAGTTTATTCAGGTTGAAAGAGTGTGAGAGAGAGCAAAGACAAGCAGATAACAAGAATGCTTAACAAAGTATAGGAAAGTAGCTTCTCTTTATAGTTTTAAGCTTTTAACCCACCTATCAGTCAGGAAACAAACTGGACTTAGCAGCATTTTCTGCCTATTGAAAACCTTCCAGCTGTGGTACGGGTCTGGATTCTTTAGGGATTTTAAACTACGACCCTTATTTATCAATAGAAAACATACAATTCTAGTGAAAGCTGACTATGTAAACAGTATAGTGTCTTTGGTTTTTACAGAAGGGCTAAAATATATTATAAATAATTATCTTCTGTCTTGTAGTTCCAAAACGGAAATTTGAATTAGACAAAACTGGTTATTCAGACTTTATCACAAAACAGGGCTGGTGCCTTGCTAAATGAAAAAAACAAAATATTATTAAAAAAAAACATATTTATAGCAATCTGGAAATAAATCAAGATTTACCCTCAAGGAACATCATCACAGAATTACAGAGTATAGTAAATGATGAAGTGCACAGATTTAGCTTTTGGTTGGTTTAGAGTATTTCATTCTATTGCCTTAGGCTAGTGTGGTACAATGGCTCTACAATAAAAGTTAATTGACTCTTGAACAACCAGTTGTGTAACATCAAAAAGTAGATCATCAGCGTTGTGGGATTTTGCTGTTTACAATTATGTACTGAAAAGGAATCTCTAGTGCCCTTGTATACATTTAAAATGTGTTGGTGTAGAAGGGTAAACAGCTACAGACAATGTTTTAAAACCTGCCATGTTTGTCATGCAAAGGCAGATTTACACCAACCTCATTCTGTCTGGGTGATCAGCAGCTTAAATGATGAGTCAAGTACAGACACTTTGAGGTCCTTGCAAAGGTAATATGAAAAACACAAACAAATCTAAAAGCAATTAATCTAAGCCTCAGATTTAATAGGGTTGAAACCATCATCAAACCTACAGAAAGGCCTGTCACAATAACACACTTTTTTTTTCTGGAAAATTAACTGTCCCGTAAATTATTGCAGTGAAAAAACATATTGTTGTTAGGAAATCTTTAAAAAGTGATATATTAATGGCATTATGATGCGATTACACCTTCAAGAGCAAAAAACATTAATTTCTAAGGAACCTTCAACATTGGGACTAGAAGAGGTCTTGAATATCAACAAAACAACCAAAAACATAGATCAAAATTTATTGTCTTTTGAAAAAATTGCATCTGGAAAAAAAAACAAAACAAAACATAACTAATCCAAAAACCCAAAACACAACCAAAAAAACCCCCCAAAAAAACATTGATAATCAGGCTCAGTGAAGGAAAACAGAATAACTGCCTGTTTTATAAACATAAAAGTGCAAAATAACAACCAAATTTTGATTTATAAAAGCTTATCTTTGCTGCCAAACATGCCAAGAAAGGAATGAGCGGCTATTACCCTGAATTTATACTGCATCAAGTTCAGAGGTGCTCAAAGGAGCATGTGAAGATTGTGCAACAGAAGCCAGAAATAAATGCAGGAGTCAAAACAAAAGAAGTCATTCTTTGAATTTCAAAGGGGTTAGAAATGCTTCATTTGTCATTTTTCAGATATTTTCATTAGTTATATTCCAGAATGGGTGAGTAAACAGAGTGAACAGAAGCTATATTTGTTGCTTTTTTGGGTGCATTTAATATTTAGTAGTTCAGTTTTCATAGCCAAAGTTAACACCTTGGCACTTAGGAGCACTAGCTCTGCAAAAAAGGTTTCAAACACCCCAACTCTCCATTTTGCTGCAAGCCTCAATAATGCCATAAGCCATGATATTACTTTTGGACATCAGGACCATGAATAACAAAACTATTTTGAATGGAAGTTGTTTTGAATTTATTCTGTATGTGTGGAGAGTTAACAGCTTGACCATGATTTGAGCTAGAATCACATTTTCTTATAATGTCCAAAAACAAAGCTGGGTTAGTGCATGTTCACAAAGAAAATATTATATAACATGAATCACTACTGCATTTAATTGCATGACACCTCAATTTGGCTGAAACTATCCGACATACCAGAGACACAAGCCTCGACACATTCAAGACATTACTATATATGCCCATGAAGAGGCATTAAGGATGTACTGTATATTATTGTTTCATACAATTTTAGGTAAATAAAACACGTCCAGAATTATGTAAAGATTATTTTCTCTTTATCTAGTTTTTTTTGCATTCACAAATCCTCAAACTGATTAATAGTTTAGGATGTAAATATTATGGCTAACTAAACTAGGTTTCTTTTTTTTTTAAGAAACTTTCTACACTGATTTCTCGTTCGATTTATGGAAGTAAAATAAAAAGCTTACTACTTTCTTGGTGATGGTAGGACATTGTCAATATTTATAGTGTTAAATGCCAGCCTAAGATAAATTAAGTATCAGTAAAAAGCTAAATCAATGCACCATCTCAAAGCAAGGTGTGTCAACATCATTTTTTATAATGAGACATGGATCTGCAATGCAGATTTGATATAGAATTTTTTTTTTTTTTTTTTTACGGCACTAGGCTGACAGGAAAGGGGGTATGAGAGAGGGGGAGAGACATGCGGGAAAGGACCACAGGTTGGATTCGAACCCGGGTCGGCCGCGTCTAAAACTAAGGCCTCCACACATGGGTCGATGCCCTTGATACAGAATTTAATTCCTTTACATAAAAACACACTGCAGAAAATTCTTTTTTTTTTTTTTTGGCATAATGCAATGTTTTCATAAAGCAAACAGTTTATTAAAATGGCCTGAATTTATATAAACTTTATTAGATACAAGGACCCCAAATGGCCTAACACTACATTAAGTCATTCACCCACACATGGATTGACTGATGTTAGTCATTGCCAAACATATGCAGCTAAGAATATAAAAATTAAGTACAGCAGCTATCATCACGCATTGGGACTTCATTCATCATGTTGAGGACCTGGGTAAATGTTAGGGAGAGAAACAAACATATCCTACATGCTTCCAACTTTAAAGGTGATCAGCTGGACAGGCAGTCTCACCTATGAGTGATTGGTAGCAGGCTTTGCAGAGGACAGACTTTTTGTTCTATGGGTCCGATGATAACTGCTCAGTATAACTTTTTTACTCAAACCAAGCATCCTAAAAATTAGCATTTTCTCCTCGCTGGATTACTTGATGACTCTGACACAGCTGTCAGCCCATCAATTCAGCGGTGAGAAGATTCATGCACTGACTAGGGATTTTCCTCTGGAGAACTTATTGTCATATTGATCATAACTATAACATTTTGTCTACTTTGTAGGTCTCTTTGGATAAAAGTGTCTACTAAATGCATAAAGATAAACAAACAAAAAAAAATAAACTAATGCATCAGTTGTTTCGTACATGTAAACTATGCTGTGTACATAGAGGAAACAAGAATGCAGCATCCAACAAACAAAAATAAGGACAAAATGATAGCCGTCACCACCAGTGTGAAA